ATAACGAGACGACTCTCACGACAGATTTTATATTACCTTTACTTACAGTCATTCATGGTTCAATAGCTAGCATAATGTCAGCTATTATCTTATTTATTATTATTTACCATCAACATAATAATCGAATAAAACAAGAAGAAAGAATTAATTTGATTTTATGTGTTAATATTTATCTTTGTATTTTTCTTTGTTCAACTATGTTAATTCTACTAAATATTCAAACACTGTTAGGTGATCTTTATGATCTAAATTTTGATTCAACACAATGTATATTTTCTGGATATCTTAATCTTATTTTTATCTATACTTTATATTATGGATTTGTTACTCAAGTACGTATAAATAATATGTTTAGTTATCCTATAAATCCTGAAAACACAGTTAATTATGACTGTTGATTTATAAACTTGACTGACATGTAATATCAAATTGAGATGGTTACCGAGGATGTTTGTATGAAATAGTTGTATGTAGAAAAGCTAGAATTACATTTAATACTATACTAACTTTAGCAGATAATATATTTTGACTAATTTAGGCTTTATATCGACTTTGTCGTATTGTATATCGAACATACAGATGGTTTCAAGTATATTGGCTTTATATTATCGCAGTACCAGTTCAATTTATTATCGCTTGTTTAATTATGTCTCCACTCTTTATTCGTCATATTATTATTTATATTCCTGATTTATATCAGTGTTTTATACCAACTCACAATAGTCTCGGTACTGTTTGGATAATTGTTTTTATGTATGGATTGCCTATTTTATGTTTATTAATTATTTATATTCATATAACGATAGATATTCGTCAACAATCAACTAATCAGACATTAGCAGTCAAACGTCGACAAGCACGAGATTTTGTTGTTATTCGACGCATTATAATTCTTAATAGTATATTGTTTACTCTTGGAGTGCCGGGCATGATTCTTTTGATCATAAATTATGTTACAGGAAATGAACTAACTCTAAATTATCGTATTACATGGCTTTCATTTGAACTGTCTATGATATTGCTAAGTATATTAGTGATTGTTATGACACCTCAATTGAAAACTATTGTTATATCAAAATGGAAACGAAATAGAGTGATACCTTTAGCTCCTATCGTAGAGAATTCAGGTCAAATAAGAACAGCTGGTACTCTTCAATAACTTCAAGGACTTTTATAATGAACACATTCAAGTGTTTTTTGACTTTTTTTCTCTTGAAATAATAACGATGATTGTATTGAACAAGTAGTATTTATCTTTTCTATTACAGCTTTTCAAATGATTTAATACAAAATAAAATAATTTCTAACTTTATTAATTAAATTGTCATGTTAGTATATGTGTACCGATAACATCACTGAGTATGCTTCTTTTACAGATAAGTATTTATATTGTGCTTAATTTACCAGGTGGTGTAACATATTTATCAGTAATAATGCCAGTTCCCTATGAAACAACATCGCTCTTTTTCTTGATTAATAATATCATTCAAATAATAATATATAATTCCATCAGTTCAAGTTTTATTATATATATGATTGCTACTCGGTGTTTGTAGAGAAGAACTTATGATAATTCTACGCACACTCTTTCGTATGAAGCAACCTGTTAATAATCGTATTGGAACTCAATCAACAACAAATAGAGAAAATTTTCAAACATTTGCTATTATAGCATCTATTCGATTAAACAATACTATTCAACAAACATATATACAATAAATTTTTCAATATCAATAATTCAAAGATTGTTTTGCTCATATAAATAAAATCTATTCTAATAAACTATTTAACAATTTGAAATAAAAGGTTCTCTTAAGATTCGACTTCGTTAAATATAGCATAATCTACTTTAACCTTTGGTATATTCTATCAAGTGGATAGTCTTTTTTAGAGACTAGATATAATTTAGAAAAACATAAGTATGAGAGCTCGAAACATAATTAATAGAGCATATAAAAAATTGAATATCAAAAGAATAGAAAAAATTTAAAAGATAAGAGTTAAAAATAAAGTTATGAATACATAAGTCATTCAGTCAACCATTATAATGATGATTAAAATGTATGTTAACATATTCCAAAAGCATATAATAAATGAAAGAAAAAATGTTTTTTTAACATTTTATTATTGTTAAATACGAAGTGACATAGTTATTAATAATATATTCTCTTAAAGATGATACATGAAAATTATTTTTGATCCATATTAAAATGTTCTTGTAACAAAATTGGACTTAGTTTTCCATCAAAAAACCCTGCACACATCCATCACATTTTGTCAAATTATGTAGACTTGCAAATATTCTATAACATCATTATTCGCTTTTTTAAGTTGTGTTTATTTATAAAAGTTTTTAAATAAAAAGAATAACGAATCTACAATACAACGTATATATATGAATATTGAGAATATGAGTTGAATCAATAATAATATGTCAGAGTTATTAATTGAGCTCAAATGCTTGTGGAGAAATTCTGTTTATTATATGTTGAATTTTCACGATTTTTTTTCATTTTTATCCAAATTTCTTTTGATGATCCAAGACATATGAATGGCATCAATACTGGAATAAAAAAACTAAAAAAATATATAAATATTTCAAATTCACCGGTTGAACCATACGGTAAACCAAATATCAGAGCGAGATTCATACTAATTACAGGAAAATTAAATATAAGATATAATAGTGAACATGATAATACTTGTATAATCATTCTTCGATATTTATACCATTGTATTTGTGGACGAAGACGTTGTCTTTGTTTGATAAAACGAATAACTAATAAAATATTGACAATTACGATCAACATTAGTGGCAACATACTGTTTATTAAAGAATCAAATAGATTAAGATTAAATATTCCTAAGTAACATGGACGAAAACACCAAAGTTGTGTATAATCTGGTGTATTTTGACAAGATACAAAGAAAATACAGATAATATAAAAGATACAAGCATATAAAACAATGCTTATTAATGGAATATAATGAATAAAAATACGTTTTTTCTGAGTATTAAGCCGTCGATGATGAAATATAATAATATGTCTTTCAATTGAAGTCCATGCCATTAACATACCCAATAGATTATAAGAAGCTGCTCCGATAAACCACCAAACATAACAATTTATTGTTGTTTGTGGCCAGACATAGCCAAGATGAAGGTAGGTAAGATAATTGGAAGCATCTGCAGCTTGTGCGAAGAGTCCAACAATGAGAATAACAAAAATAACATGATTATTCAGTACTTGACGTAATATTCGATCGAAATAAAGATTATAGAGTAAAAAAATAGAACAAAAAATAGATGGAATCTCCAAAAAAAGAAGAATCCAAAAACGAACTGTTGCTGCTATGGATGGGTGTGAATTTGAATACAATGTTATGTAATTATCTTTAATATCATTAACTGAACTATCATTGTAAACAATATCAGCCATGAACACTGCAGAAGTATCGATGAATAGAATAAAAAATAAAGAATATTATGTCAATCGTGCTTTAATCCTCTCACAAGCTCTTATATTCTCAAATGTAGAATATACGACTAAATGTCAGTGTCAATTTATTGTATAAATGAAAAAACAAGAAACTATCATTAGTTGTCTGTAAAAGAGTAAAAACTTTCTTCTTCATTTCATTAACTAATCATAAGTTAAATAATTAAACTCGATTGCATTGCTTAGAAATATACAATAACGATAGATATTCTTTTGTATAACATGTCACTTATAAAAAATTTAAAAAAAGGAAAAGCTTGAAATCTATATATATATAAATGTGTACTCAGTGTGTTTTCTTGTTATGCGAGGTCAAAAAAATATCGAATATAATATAAGCTATCGGAATTTTCTACACGAAGAAGTCAGACATAATAAATCTGGATCATTAGTGTGTATAGCATGCTATCAGTATTAGACTTATACCTCATAATTTGTCGAATTGAATAGATATTGCTCCATCTTTAAATGAGAATGATATAGAATAAACATGCAAGTTTAGAATTTGTTTGGAGTAATAAAAGTCAATAATTATGATGAATGAAATTTTTATTGTATCCACACTCCTCAAGTTTAAAGGATAGAACTAATTTTATAATATTAAACATTGATAAATGAACGATTGATTATATATAATATTTGTGTACTTATTAAAATACAAATCTATATTGTAAATAAAGTTTTGTAAGTTATTTCAACAAACTAGACACTTCTAAAGATCGGATGATTAAAACAGCATGTACAAGTTGTTCTGTCAATCAATTAAACTTATTTTTGCGTGGGAAAAGAAAGTAGAATCAGCTATAGTTAATTACATATAAAGCTTTGAGTTTATTTAATTTCGATACATAAAAATAAACTATGGACCTAGTTTAAGCAAATACTGGAAATGAGTAACACGAAATCGCCGATTGTATAATATTATTTCGTATAAATATGTTTTTGATAGACTGACGTATTTCAGACAATCCAATTAAACACATAAATGGACAAAAAAGATAGCGTATGTATTCGAAATAAATGGTGGGTGTAAGAGTTGATATTTTATTTCAAACAAGTCCATACCCACCTACACCCTCAAGAAATTTTCTTGATTCACCAATCATAGCAAATACAACTGATGCAAATGTTTTTTTTTATAAAAATGCAATGTATTATACAATGGAATACTTTTTTAACTTTCTTCCACGAAATTCTCAACGGAAATAATCAAACATTGATTATTGTATTAAATTATGGTTTAATCCATACACCACATGTATAAATACATGATCTTCATCATGGTTATTCAACTTTATTACCAGAATCAATACATACAATTTGATTATTAAGCTTTTTTGCAAGATAGCCCTGTCATATATATACAGTGTTGACCTGTCTGATCGGGCAGTCTAGGCAAGACAGATATGATATAGCCGTATATTATTGACTAATAATGAACTTGATTCATAACACTATACAATATCTATGAAAAAATTGATGTAGGCCATTGTTGTTAAGATGAATATCGAATCATTAGCAAATGAAATTTTACTTGATCTGTTCGATTATTTTGATGGTATCGATCTTTTTCATACATTCTATGGACTCAATACTCGTTTCAATTTACTTATCTGTAAACAATATTCATTACATTGCTTTACATTTTGCGGTATAAAGAAAAGTCAATTTGATGAATTATGTCAACAACATATTCCACGTCTTACCAATCGAGTTTATGGTCTTAGCTGTGCTGAAGATAATTGCAATCCTGGACAAATGGATTTATTGTTTACTTATATTCCATCATTTGAACAATTTAGTGGATTACGATCATTATCATTACAAAATATAACTTCGTCTGAAACACTAATAAAAGTTATTCAAGAATTATCATATTTGTTAAATCTCATGCATTTAACCATTAATTGTTATTCTGCCCGAAAATATGTCATCAATTTTCAACTGATGAATGATACTATTTGGAGTTTGCCAAAACTTCGTATTTGTTCTTTACATATTTTCGCTATGGGATCAAGAAACTTTTGTATTCCAACAAAAATATCAGCCAGTCTTCAATCAGTCAAAATGACATCATTTCAACTTGATATTAATCAGATAGATCAATTAATGAAAAACACTCCTCATTTGAAACATCTATTAGTTTGTATTAAGATTTCCAGTGTTATGAATGATCATTACAACTTACCCTCTCTTTCGACTTTAATCAATTTAGATATATGTGTATGGGATACATCTGATTTATCGAAAATGGTTTTATTCTTGAAAAACCTATCTAATCTACGTCATTTAAATATTAGATTTAGTAAAAATATGATTAATGGTTATGAATGGGAGCAAATCATTCGTAATTATCTTTTTAAACTAAAAGTCTTTGAACTTGATATGAGTGATGATATTCCGACAAATCAAAATATTGAGGATTACATGAATCAATTATTGGATTCGTTTCAAAGTTCATTTTGGATTAATGAACATAAATGGTTCATTCATTGTTATATCGTTGATACAACTATTCGTTTGTTTACATCATCAAAATTTCCTTCTTATTATCCTGATCAAAAACTTCCTCATATATGGAAATCAACAAATCCAAAGGATACTCAACAGAACCTTTATCGTTGTATAACTATGATTAACGAAAACTTTTTTGAGCAACCCATGCCATCGGACATTTGTTTATCGAGAATTGATTATATTACTATAAAATTTCCTCTCCATGATCAATTTTGGTCTGCAATATCAAATTTTAATCATCTATCTTCAATAAACGTTTTATCTTACAACGATACATATCAATCAGAACTGCAAAATTTATTCGAGCGAGCATCGAAACTTCATTCTTTACGTATTAATCAGGACGATTCATTACCACTTCAAACATCTCTATTTAAGTGTATAAATCCTTCAATTCATTCTCTTATTTGTTTCAAAATGAATCATTGTTTAAATGAGGAAGAATGTTTGTTATTTTGTGATTCACCATTAGGAATGCAATGTGAAATATGTTCATTTAATGTTGAAAATCTTCTTTGTATTATAATCCTTGTCAAAAATATGATCAATCTTCAAGCATTACATATTTATTGTCAAGAAATATCAGAAGAAAACAGAGTTGAAGTTATTGAGTGGTTGAAAGATTCTTTACCATCAACATGTTTTGTTATGAAAGATCCAGATTCTACTAATGCTATTCGAATATGGATGTAACATTAACAGATAAAATTTGTTTGTTGTTGGCTTAAAAATAAATAAATATTCCTGGCTAAACTGCTAAAATTGATGTCATCTATTTGTTCGAAAATGTTTCATATGTCCTATATGTGACGATGTGAGTATCTATCATCTCATAATCTACCCACACCCATCTTCATCGTCTCTAATCTGCCTGCTTCATCAGTATTGAAAATAGAAATATATAGAAGTAATCAAGTTTATTAGTGAATTATTTCGAATAATAAACTAACTAAGTGAAAGCAAAAGTATAGTTAAAAAATATTAGTAATGAAGTCTGATAAATAAAAAAATAAGTGGCAATCGTCAAATTTATCTTTTAGTTAATAGTAGCTTTTTCTGTAGCACATCGACCAAAATTTTCTGGTGAATACATTTCTTCTGCTTTTGCTGGTGGCATGATAAATGTTCCGGCACATGTTGCGCGCATAACATAACTCCATGCATAAACACCAGGCCATAATAATGATCGAAATGCTTCAGCACGTTCATCACGTAAATTTTCATGTTCAGTCCAGCCAGTAATTGAGTGTGAACAACATCTAGATTGATTTGATCTTGTAACAGATGAATCCGTATCACCTGTAATTGTACCTTTCAATTGTGTATTTAATGCTTCACAACCAGCAGGTAAATAATCAACTAATGCAATATGATATCGTCGTTGTGTTGTTTTCATTGTTAATATAACTTTGATTTTTTCACCTAATTTAAATTTCCATGTACCATCTTCTTGTTTTTGAACATGTGATGAATCATCAACAGCTACATATCTTCGTTCAATCTTAAAACCGTAATTAACTGCATTTAATTGTAAACTTGTTGGTGCATAATTCAATGCAATACGATAATATAATCGACCTTGACCATCTTTTTGCATAATTAAATTCTTATCATTTGATTGTGATAGAATAAATTTCATTGGAATATCAACTGTATGTGTATTTGTTGTTCGACCTTTATATTGATGTTGACCACAATAATCATTATTTAACCAAATATTTGCAATAAAATCAGGTGTATCTTTTTCTTTAATATGAAAATATTTTTCTAATGCAAGCAATACAAAACAATTTTCTTGTGTTGATTTCCATGCACCTTTAACTTTATGTGCTTGTAAACCTTTACATAATTTTGTACAAAGTGTTGATTGTGGATCAATATATAATAATGCTTCTAATAAGATAGCATCGGTTCGTTGATCAGAATGTAACATAACAGATTGACCATCATCACCGTAAGATGTTATAAAATTGGCTGTTTCAGCAGTTTCACTTACTTTACCTTTTATATGTTTATAGATTGTCTCAATTGATTGTGTTGTTGTTGCATTTTTCTCAGTAGATAATGCAACTAAAAGCCAACCTAATGCTTCTAAACTAAGTTTATTAAATCCACTTCGTGTAAATAAGTCAACTGCTTCATTTGCTACATTTTGTGATCCTTTTGCTCGTACATACAATGCATAACTCATCAAACTAAATCGAGTTATTTCAGACCAATATTTTGCGTATAATAATTGATTTATTTCAGATTCAATATTTGTTACATATTGAAGTGCATTATTGAACATATTTCCATCAATATCACATACCTTTAAAAGAAAATGAAATAGTCATTATGAATGTTGTTCTTATTATTATTTACCTGTTTAGCCATAACAACAACCAAGCAATGTGCAGTATGTATACTGACAAATGGATCCGCATTTGTACCCTCTCGATTTGTCCAATAACCAAAACCACCATTTGAATGTTGACGACCTTTTAATATATTCATATCTGATTGTAATTTTGTTCTTATTTCTGCTATATCTGGTAAATCTTTACATTGAAATGCTTGTAAAACATCCCATAATGCTTGAACACCTAATAATCTTGAACTTAATTGTTCTGTACATTCATATGGATATGTATACAAGGAAATAATTGCGTCTGTTAATGATGCTAATGCTGTTGAACTTGTTGAAATTGATAATTCACCAAATTGTGGAATAACATTTTCAGGTGTTTTAATTGGTTGAAAAACAACTTGTTCTTCACATACGTCACCGTAGGTTGCAAATGCTTCGGATGTTGCTGGTGTGAAGACAGGTACACTTAATTCAATTGCATCACCAAATGATGCTTGTGATTCATTTGCTAGAGTACTAACAATAAATTGAAATCGAGCAGTACCTGCATCAATTGTTGATAATGGAAATTGAAGTGCAGCTCGTTTATTTGCTTGAAGTTGAATGGCATAACCAACAACTTGTTGATTGGCGTCTGCGGTAGTTAATTTTGCATTTGTTGCTTTTAGACCAGCATGTAATAATAATGGTAGATCAGTTTGATTTTGTAAAACAACTGAAAGATTAGCTGTATCTCCATAATTAAGAAATCTTGGTGGTGAAGGACGTATCATTACTGGTAATTGTACAGTAAATCCCATTTCACCTAAACCATATTGTTGATCAGTTGTAGCTATAGCCCAAACACGATAACGTGTAAGATTATCAGGTAATTTAAATTTGAATGAAACATGTCCTGTTGAATTTGTTGCTGATGATGGTACCCAACATGCTAATGGATTAAAATTCGATCGAACATTTATTGTTTGACCAGCATCATCAAAACCACCACCAAAACCACCCCTCGCAGCAGAACAAGCCATCGGCATTGCAAAACAACATTTGTCCATCATACGCGAATGCATGCGCAGACTTTGTTCATTTATTTGTCGCATTTCTTTTTTAAATTGTTCAATATCTTTCATATTGAATAATAAACAACGATTTCTACCATGATGTTGTACAATCGATGCTGGTCTATTAGGATAAAATATATCTAATGGACTGGTTAATTTGTAATCAGTTAATGATAAGATTGCTTCATCAACAACAATTAGACAAACTTCTGCTTGGTTTACAGGTACTTTATCTTTAAATTGTGTAACATCAACATCAATATGAACAGTTGATGATGGTGTATAGGTTTTCTGCGCATCTTTTGTATTGATTGAAATATTTAGTTTATAAACATCTCTTGAAACATCTAATGTTACTGAACCAACAGCAATGGCTGGACGATTAGGTGCATCGGCTACTTCTGTTTCTCTTGGCATTGAACCTGTTAATTCAATATGTGCAGTAAATCCTGGTATCCACTCTTTTAATATTTTAAATTCAACTGTTGCTGAATCTTTTCCAGCTTCAACTTGAAATTGTATTGGTTGTGAAACTTGACCTTCACAATCGAATAGTACTAGACCATGAGCTGGACTAAATGGTGCTAAGACAAGTAATTCACATGTATCATCTGGTTGATAATTTGTTGCATTTGGTAAAATTGTTAATGTATCGGTTGGAATATATTCGACTTTTTGTCTTTCCATTTCTTTTCCACTACCACCAGCAACATAAATATTATCATAGAAACTCATTGCTGATTGTCCTTGTTCATTTTTGATGGTAAACGATATATTGTATCGTCCACCTAATTTTGGTGTAAATTCCATATTAATGGCATCTTTACTTGAACTAGCATTTGTAACTTGTTGTTCATCTTTGACTTCTTCATATATTGTTAAACCATTCGCATCTTCTTTTCTTTCTTGACCAATACCAACTATGTTACATTCAATTGAAACATTATCAATTAAATTTCCATCAACATCTGTAACGATAACTTTGGTTTTTATAGGTTGATCTTTCTTGCCATAATTATTGAGTAATTGAAATCCAACATAATATGTTGATGGATGAATAAGAAATTGTGTTTGTGTTTCTTGTGTTTGATTATTTAAATCTGTAATAGCTGCTAATGCACGAACCATTGTTGGTTTTGGTTCTTTTTCAATACCATGGTAACCTATTTTAATTTCATGCGTACCTTTACTGTCAGTTTTACCCTAAAATAAAAAAATTAATAGTGTGTGTATGTTTATAAAAAAATATTTGATGTTACCTGGAAAAATTGTGCAGGATATGATATTTCATTGTTGTTATTGCTACCATACCAAAAGAAGAATGGTCGAGCTCTACCAAATGTATAATCAGATCTATTCGGTGGTGTATATCTGGTTGTTTCAGCGCTAACTGACCATTGAACATTGGCATCAGTTAAAAAACCACCAGCAAATAATTTTCCTTGACAACTAGCTATAACATGTTGATCATTAGTGGGATGACAATAATGTACTGTTGATGGTCGAGTCATTGATGAAACTTCATATTCTGGTCTACGAAACTCTTGAATTTTGAAAGAATGTGTTGTTTGTGTTTCTAAACTTGGTAAATTGAATGTTACCCATCCATCACCTAGAAATAATATGAAAGTTATTTTAAAGCAGAAACAAATCTTAACATACCTAAATTAACATTATCAGGTAATGTAAATTTGATATCAAATGCACCATAATTATTTAATTCAACTTTTGATTGTTCTAGTTGTTGACCACGAGGATCAGAAACTATATACTCAATAGTACCTTTTGCATAAGTTGGTAATTTTGCATCACCTTTTACTTCCAATAATCGAACGTATCCTTTAATATGTACTTCTTCTTTTGGTTTATATAAACCTCGATCATTAAATACATGCCAAACATAAGTATTAACATTTGACGCATATGAATATATATCAGGTAACATACATAAATCATCATTCTTTTGAACTATCAAGATTTGTTCTCGAATAGTTTGTTCGTTATTATTTTCTGTCGTATCTTTAGCAATTGTACATAATCCTTGATTATTTGTTTCATTGTTTTTGTTTGATATGGAAACAGTTGCTTGATGAACAGGTACACCAGTCATCAAGTCAGTAACCCATGTAGTTAATCGAGCATTCGGACCTGTAGACGCTGATGAGACAAAGACATCAACTGCTAATCGAGTGCATTGTAACCAAGCTGATACCATTGGTTTACGTTCCCACTCGTTTTGTCGGCATGCATTCCAGGCTTTGTCTGTTGGTTCAATAAAAACAATTAATTGACCTACACCTGATTCTTTTGATAAATATGTTTTCAATGGAATTTTCATTTCTTTAGGTTCATCACGTTCACAATTTGTTTGCATAGTTTCATTGAATAATTCTTCACCGGGCAAATCACGATTTGATTCTTCTTTTCCATTTCTATAAGAATACTGTTGAAAACAAGGTAAATCTTGTCGATAATGTTCTGGTTTAACTTGATTAACGCGAAGTATTATTTCAGAATAATTATAAATCAAAAATGGATAAAATGCATCATCTAATACACCAGGATCCATTATAATCATACCTGTTGCACCAGACAAATGGCCAGCTAATGGTGGTGAATCATGTACATGAAATTGTATTGATTGTTCAGCAAAATCATGTTCCAATGTTTGACCATGAATATCTTTTAACACTTCTGTTTGTATCGTCAATGTATAAACAGTATTAGGTTTTGAATTATTGTGTATGGTTATTTGTCGATCATTGTATTCGACATGTTCAATACCTAATCCACTAACTTCGGGTTCAATTTTAAATAATGATTTATTAATTGTTGAACGATCTAATGAATTATTGAATGTTACTAACCAACTACTACCAGGGTTAGTAGATGGTTGGTATTCATTTTTTTTATTTGGTTGCCAATCAATGATTTTTAAAGGTTCATATGTTTGAAAATTAGCTGACCATTCTAATGTTGTCACTAACGGACCTTCAGTTGATGGACAACCCACAGGTAATTGAACTGTATATTGTGTTGCTTTTGATAGGTCATTTTTAAATGTAAATGCAACATATCTTTCATGAGTCCCTTCGTTCGTATTCAAATAGCCTTCAAATTCTTTTTTTGCTGCTGTTTCATCTATTAGTTCCAAATCACCTTTTGATATTTCACGTCCATCATTATCAACTACGCGTAAATGTTTTAAAATTTGATTTCGATCAATTTTTTGATCAAATAATAAAAAGCATTTTGGTTTCAATGTTGAAACTGTACCATATGGTGAATATTGAACAACATTTGCTGGTGTTGTTGAAAATTCAAACAAAAAATCATCTGCTAATTTTCCTAAAGAACGAAAAAACAGTGCGAGTTTTGCAAATACTTGATAGATTTACCTTCAATTGCTGATACACAATTTTCTTTCTTAACTTGTAATGTATATTTTGTTGAATATGGTAAACGATGTTTTGGTTCAAATTGAATTGTTTTTGTTCCTGTCCATCTCCATCGACCATCTAAGTTCGGTGTTAATGATATACCAAGATTTTCTACATTCGTATTTTCATCCAATGTTGAAACAGCAATCATCGGTTGATTGAATGTTATTGTAACCGCTGCTAATGAATAATTAATTTCCGTTTCAGTAGGAGAATATCTTTCGATAATTAATGGACCTGCTTCTTGTTTCGCCAATTGTTTTAATTGTTCAACATCAATATCAAGATCTTCTTTACGATCTTCGGAAGGTGGTGGAAATGGTGTTTGTATTATTTGACCTGTTTTTGGTGCTTTAATTGTTGCTTCACGTTTGAAAAATTCTTGATTATCATTTGATTCGGCAACCAATTCAGAACTTGCTTTAATGAACAATTGATGTAATTGTTCTGGAGTTAAGTTCTGTTGTTGCGATGATGAATCATCAGTTGACGATGTCATTGCAGCACCAGTTGTAATTTGCTCATCCAAATCATTTGCTTCGGTAATATTGAAACAGAATTCACGAGGTCCAGATTCTTCAACGTTATCCGGTTTAGGTGGAAATCGTATTCTTCGAACCATGATATTTCGATAATAGAATAAAAATAATGTAGAATTGTACGTTTATCTACAAAAAAATATGATATAAGAGTTATGATTTATGTTTTTCGTATTTTATTTAATTCTCTTGTATTCAATAAGCAAGTTAAAAAATATTCTCCGATTTTTTTGGTTGTTGTATAAAATGTTGTGAGAGAAATTTCATATGATGGAGCAATTTTGTCTTGTTTTTATATGAGAGTGTAGGAGAAATAATGGTTTTGTAAAAGAAAATTACACAACAACAAATATATAACACATTACTCAATGTTTTTATATGTTTTCAACGAGATATCACATTTGGCGCAGGTTATTTTTTCTTTCGTTCTGTCTTGATATACATTCATTAATGAAGAATGTTTAGTATCATAAAAAATGACAGGAAAGGAAAGAAAAAAGTAACTAATCGAAGACTTTTTTACATGAAGAGAAAAAATATGAAGTAGATGTCATTGTAAATCAGCAGTCTCACTACAATGTGATGTCAAGTTTTCTCTTATCATTTGTTTTCTAAAATAAATTTTTCAATTCAAAATACCATCTTGACGGTGTGGGTATTAGTGAGAGTATCTATTATCTCATAATCCACCCACACCCTACTTTCAGTTGTCAAATGATCTTCTCGTTAACAACTGGCTACATCGCATAAATGTGACGCTAGAAAATACAAATAGAAGTAAGTGTTTTAACTTTCTTTTTCACTTACCACATTTGTCTCCTGTTGCCGAAAGTACTTCAAACTCTTTATCGAATGTAACCGCACGAAGAACTAAGTGGTGGTTGTACATCTTAACCCAGGTATTTTTTTCATTGTAAGAAAATACTTTAATTTCGGCTGAATGTACTTATGGACCTTACTGTTAATGTAGAATGTAGTTCTTGAATAAGCAGGTGGTATCTGTTTCAGTTCATCAGGCGTGGTGTAACATTTAACCCATTCCGCAAAATAGTTCCCTATAATAAACAGAAACAAGATACATAAATCCATCATAAAATCGCTTACTAATGTATTCTGGCTTAATTTTTGACAAGATTACATTTAATACACAAGCAGTTTCCTCCGGATTGATGAATTTTAAGAATTGCATGGCTAATGTTGAGAGTTCGGCTTCTTTTTTAAATGAAGATATCTCTGATAAATGAGCAGATTCGAAATTAATCAATTCTTCCATTGACTCCAGTGCTTTATTCATATTTCTATTGTAATGATATCGCATGCTTCTCAAATTCTGCTAAAAAATACAAGATGTTAATTGATATCAATCACAAATCATGTTATCTTACTCGCAATTGTTTTACGGTGCAGCCAGTTTTCCGTGCTACTTTCTTCATCTCGGCCTTGTTCGGCTTAGGATCATGGTTGAAGAAAGCACGAACGTAAATATTTCCATCACGAGTAAATCTTCTTGTTTCACGATCAAAAAGCGACGCACGATTCTTTGAACGAACCATAACCAAAAAAAGTTAAGAACAAAACAAAAATTCGCTCAATATATATGTGTCAAACTCGTTACAACCCTTAATGAATAAGAGCAAATGATTAAATCAATCAATCCATATAGTGAACAGACTCATTCTTCAATAATTGATGGTTGTATCATCAATCAACAAACAATTAATTAACACACATTTGACACAACAAACCCATACATTACTTCCTTCTTATCATGAGTTTCAAATTAGTATACACAATATGAAATCAGACAATACTCTGAACAGATACGCTACTATTCTCACCCTCATCATTATTATACACTTCCATAATCCATTGATCTCAATCAACACCACCTACATCGTCATCAATATCATCGTGTGAATCATGTGTGTGGGTGAAAGTATTTACTATCTCATAATCCACCCACACCCACCCACACCCTCATTTAGAATCAATTCATTTTATATTATATAGTCAATGTAATCAATGATGCTTCACATGTTTGAATTTGTATATCAACTTGATTATATTATTTATCAATCCAAAAAGGAAATTTATAACATTTAATATTGGATTATATTTAATTTATTAACTATTGATCTATTTCTATTATGTGATTTATTCATTGCTTTCACAACGTCTAATTCATCATCTCGGTACTACTATTATCTACTTCAATAATTAAATCATTTAATTGTATCTTCTATTCCCAGAACATACTTATTTCTTTTCTATTAGTCAACGATTCACAAAAAAATTGATGGAACATTTTATTTTATTAAAAAAGTAGTGTTATGATCGTTGTCAACACACGATCATAATGAATTCTGGATTCTTTCCTTTCTTTTCGTTGTGCGTAATCATATAGTGTATGTTTTTTCACATATAAAAGAGATATATCTACGAGAACGTATTGCTCGAATGATATAAACTAAATAGAAATGGTATAGTAGCAATCACCTTGAAGTAATATTCAAACACAATCAAAGTTGAACCAAAACAGTCGAATATATATGTTGTGAATATAAACGAAAATAAGGAATGAGATGAATATGTAAAAAGCAAATGGTGTCCAATTATTTTTCTCTTTATACGCTTAGTTCATGCATAAAAATGATTTTTTCGTTTTTTATATTTATTATTCATCGTTATCAAACAGCAAGTAAGCAATTAAACAGAAAAGAAATTACATATCTTCATTTAATATATATGTAATAGTTATTACTTATGATGACCGTAAATAAGAAACAAAATATGACTTATTGATCATGATTTTCATACCTACACTCGAGATACGTGTGCATTATTATAGGGAAGAATTGAAAGTGTGACAAATTATCAGTCATCACTACTAATGAGTAATTTTCTAACATCTAACTTTCATTGTTGTTTTGCGATATTCTGTAAGATTCATGAATAGAAGTCAATATTTTATATCTTCATTTATAACAATTCATAAAGATTATATTAAAAAATAAATTTCTCATTTTTGCTTTTTTAATATTCTATAAGATTGATGTATTAAAGTGACTATTTTATATTTTTATTCATAACAATTCATAGAAATTCTATATAGAAAGTAAATATCTGCTTTAAAAAAATAAAAGTCAAACAGTAAAGATCTTCTCAAAAGTAGTGATAACCCTGACGATTTGTCATACTCTCAGCTCTTACCTATAATAATGTACACGCATTTCGAGTGTGAGTGTGAAAATCATGATCAATAAGTCATATTTTTTTTCTTTTTCACAGCCATTATAAGTAATAACTATTACATATGTGTTAAATGAAGATATGTAATTTCTTTTCTATTTAATTGCTTACTTGTTGTTTGATTAAGATGAATAATAACTATCAAAAACGAAAAAACCATTTTTATGCATGAACTAGGCGTATAAAGAGAAAAATAATTGGACACCGTTTGCTCTTTATATATTTGTTGCGTTATTTATTTTCATTTATATTCACGACAATTGTATTCACCTGTTTTGTTTTGACTTTCATTGCGTTTGGATATTACTTTACAGTAAGTACTACTACGCCATTTCTATTTATTAGGGGTGCTATATTACTTTTAACTAATAATTATATAACTTTTGTTATTGTATTGATCCTAGAGCTTTCATTCTTTCTTACTAGCTTAGTTTTAATTAATTTCTGTATTAGTTTATTACTAGCGTTTCTTAAACATCATCAATCAACTTAATATAATATAAGATCTCTATTTGCATAGTTCGAAACAGGACAATATCAGATTTTAGCTACAGTTTCGCTGACGAATAGAAACTTGCAAATTTTAACTGTCAAACTCACTTCTTTTCTTCCACTCGATTTTCATATAGAGATCCATTTCAGGTTTTTCTCAGTTTCAGGTCAACAAGCTTTTGACGAGTTAAAAAGTATCGGTCTTATGATGCTAGAAAGTCCTAAAAGGTAAATTGCAAATATCTCTGATGAATTTTGTTGTCTTTTACCATTTATATAGGTCTTTAAAATGGGTCTCTTGGTGCTGTTTGTGTGTGATGATTGCATGTATAGTTTGTGTTGCACTCATTCCTACATATTTGTCGACATCCACTATTAACACAACGACTGCCACTAGTTAGTATTCACTGATTGTTTTTATTAGATACATATACGTAGTCTTTACTAGTAAATTTACTTCGTTCATTCACTGTTTCTTATATGTTGCCATCTGGATCGACAATAAAGCGCGACACGCAGTCCGTCACAAACCGTACAGCAAACGCTGCTTGTGTAATTTTTGTCTTTTATGTTACTTCATAATGTGCAGTATATATTCTAGCTGGAACAAGCAACTGGTTCTCCCAAAGGTTCCGTCAATATCACCGGCATCAGCAGTTCAGGAGCAACCGGTACCAAAGGTCGACGTCGCCGCAAGTAATTTTAATTTTAATTCATTTCTGCTAACCATAATTGCCTATAACTTTACATATAGCATTCAATGCGATAAAACGGATCGTTCAGGTACTGCTATAGTCTTTGACATCATACTGAACTGTCCACCTGATTTACAATGTCACACACTGAACAATGAAATGAAGCTATTTACCAGCATCCGTGAAAAATTCAATAATGTAGCCAACGTTAATATTACGACGGATGATGGAAACTATATACCTGCGGATCTCTGTCATGTTCAGTCTTATCTCAATCCCAATAGCAACAACGAGGATGATAAAAGTGCTAATGGTATTGTCATCGGTAAGCAGATTATTTGTTTTAATGAATGAGAATAATTATTAATTATAATTATTTGAGTTAATGACACAATATAAAATATTATTATTGCCATGTTGTATTGATTTTGATAAACGAAATCAATATAGTCTTTAGAGAGGTGACTCATTTGTTTAGCTATTTTGTGGAAAATTACGTGTATGATACAAGATTTATGGAAGAATATATTTATTATTTTATTAACTATGATAATTAACAACTTGACTATATTTTTGAATAATGATTAATAGTAGTATAAGATTCGAAAAATTTTTAGTATTGAATTTATGCTGTGCCAACTTATTTGTTTCAGTTATTGTAATTGAAATATAATTATAAATAGTTATTATAAAAGAAGACAGGCAAGAAAATCCATATAAATGTATTTAAAGCCAAATATATTGTTAATAGATAGACAATTTGTGATTTATAAAGAAAATCACATTCAATCTTCTTGTTTCATATAGAATTGATAGCAGCAACAACCACAACAATCACAACTACAGGAACAACTATAACAACAACAACAACAACAACAACAACAAGTACAACTACTACAACAACAGCTGGATTGGGTAAGCAATCGACTACATGACAAGTAGTTCCCATCACTGTTCTAAGCAGAATAGATTATATAAAACACTAAAAAAATTATGTTCCATACCAAACTAATGTTAGAAAAAAAACAGTTACAATTAAGTGTAGAAAGAGAAAATTACTTTCGTTTACTAAAACATAAATCCTGCTTTACATTCTGATCATACGCAGAGTACCTTTATATATGTGATTGTTATCGACTTAACCTAATCGTCTGAGCTGGAAGTGGTCCTGTTGTCTAGCTTTTGAAGACTCTATTAGATTACACTACGTAGACAGATATTCTAACTGTGAATAGATATACTTTATCATGTCCAAATATCGAGGAAACTAGATATTTTGACAAATCGATTTTCAATATAATTATTTAATAATGCAATTTCATTGTTTTTAAATCTCTATACTTTAGGAGAAACAGTCTTATTTTTGTAGAAATTATTAGTGTGCTTCTCCACGAGTTCTGCAATTAGTTTGTAGTCAATATTTGAGAGTATGTGTATGGTGATAATAACTGAACATCACTCCGTACTCTGACACCCAATATCCGATCTGTGTTAAGTGTAGAATATTCAAGTAAAAGATTAATTTACCCGCATGTTGAACCTCATCGAATTACATGAAATTTTGCTTATTTTTCACATTTATATTTTTCATTTAGTATGGAAAGCTACAGGAAACATGAATGCTGCAAGAGAGTATCATACTGCATCTAAATTAGCAAATGGAAAAGTACTAGTTGCTGGTGGATATAATGGTGCTGTTCTAAGTAGTGCTGAATTATATGACCCATCAACAGGTATCTGGACACCTATTAGTCCCATGAGTACGCCACGACAGTATCATACAGCAACCATACTACAAAATGGAAATGTGCTAATTAGCGGTGGGTATTCTGGTATAGAATATTTAGATACTGCTGAATTCTATGACTCATCATCAAACACTTGGGCACCTACAGATAACATGAATGATGCGCGAAGCGATCATATTGCAGTTATGCTAGGAAATGGAAAAGTATTAGTTAGTGGTGGTTTGCATACTAGTGGTGGTATTTATGTAAGTAGTGCTGACTTATATGATCCCTCAACAAATACTTGGACATCTGCTAGTTCGATGAGTTCTCCACATGCTGATGCTATGGCATCTATATTAACAAATGATACTGTCTTAGTTGTTGGTGGAAGTGCTGTGGCCACTTTATCTAGTGCTGAAATATACAATCTCCCAACAAACACTTGGTCAGGTACAGGTGACATGAATTTTGCTCGAGAGAGGGCTACAGCATCTGTATTATTAAATGGAAAAATATTAGTTGCTGGTGGACGTAATGGTCCATCCATGAATGTTGCTGAATTATATGATCCATTGACTCACACCTGGACAGTTACAGGAAGCATGAATTGTGCGAGAAGTGGTCATGCAGCATCCGTTTTATCAAATGGACATGTATTAGTTACAGGTGGATGCGATACTACTAGTGTTGCTGAAATATATGATCCATCAACAGGAACTTGGACAGTCACAGGAAATATGGTTGCTGCGCGCAGCTATCATACAATGTCTCAATTGACAAATGGAACAGTATTGCTTGCTGGTGGTGTTGTTGATAGCACTAATATTTATTTAAATAGTGCAGAATTATATTAAGTATCATAAATATGACAATATTTTCTTTTGTTAAGTTAAAACTATTTATTTATAAATACTTTAATAAAATTATCATTAATAATATCTTATAGTTGTTGAATAAAATAAATGAATTCATTTATATGATGGAAAAAGGTTGAATCGATAGTTCTCAAGTTTTGTCTTTTAGCCATTAGTTTCGATGATAGAAACTTGTGAGATCTGTATGCATATGTATACTTTGCATTATAAATAATAATAGGATAGATATGAGTGTAATTGGAACAAAAGAAAGTTAGAACCAACGCCACATATATTTTTGTATGTAAAATTCATCTTGACAATGAGCATGTTATTGTTGTAATCAATGTTGTGCTTTAATCTCTGTAATTATTTTTTTAAATTATGCTCTATTAATTGTCATTCCGCTTGGAAGCGCCTAGAATAACTTTTACTTTAAAGGATGTGAAACGGAAAAAGAGATCGCATCGAATGTGGGTGAAAACAAGGAGAAAAACAATAGATTAATCATTACATATCAGTATGTGCTGATCGTTCAGCGAGACTGAATTAACGAACAGAAAAAGAAAACCTAATAAGTTACAATAGTGTCAACTAATAATGCCTCAATTGGTTTTGTTCTTTCTAAATAAGAAAATTAAACTGTTAGTTCAACCATTTCATTTGTTTGACATTTGATAGGGTGAGAGTGTAAGTGTAAGATAAATACAATATTCATATTCACATTTATCTCTTATCTCAAATATTTCTACTTCAGATTTTTGGTAAATACAAATCAAAGAAAAGAAAGTTTAAGTTATACTATGTATTAAATATCGAACTTCACTAGTTCTTCATCAATCTATAATACACTACATAAATCGAGAGAAAAACATGATTCAGTCATACAAGCTTTGAAAAGAACGACGCTTTTACGTGTTAAAAAAACAATTTTTTTTATCTCGTAAAAACGTGGTATTTTTTCAACGCTTGTCTGCTTGAGGATTAATGTGATTACCAATGGAGAAGGAAAAAAATGATGTGTACGATGAATGTAATCCCTTAGAGAGAAAGAAACGGCAAGAAGAAAAAATACGTCTATACTTGATTATATATATACACATATAGGTTCGAATAATATGAAGAAAGAATAAAAAATATCAAAGAGATATCAGTCGTATTGATTAGTAACAAAAACTAAAGAACAATATGGGTAAATTAGATGGTAAAATTGCTCTGATTACTGGTGGCTCTGAAGGTATTGGTTTTGCAACTGCTCAACGTTTCATTACTGAAGGTGTAGAACACGTATTCATTACTGGAAGACGCCAAATAAAACTTGATGAAGCTGTGAAAAAAATTGGTGCAAAGAATATCACTGCTGTACAAGGCGATACATCGAATTTAGCCGATCTTGATAGATTATTCAGTATCATTGAAAAAGAAAAGGGTCGTTTAAATATTATTTTTGCCAATGCTGCCACTTGTACATTCGCAAAGTTGGGTACGATTACTGAAAAACATTTCGATGATACATTTAATGTTAATGTTAAAGGAGTATTGTTTACTATTCAGAAAGCATTACCACTTTTGTCTGATGGTGGATCGATTATTTTGAATGGATCTAATTCTTCGAATAAAGGTGATCCAGATTTGAGTGCTTATTGTGCAACAAAAGCTGCAATTCGTTCTTTTGCTCGTTGTTGGACAGTCGATTTAAAGGAACGTAAGATTCGGGTGAATACTCTGAGTCCCGGTGCAATCGACACTCCATTACTACGAAGTCTGGGAAAAGATGAAGAAGAAAGTGAAATGCTCATTGCTAGTTGGCAAGCAGCAATACCAATGAATCGAATCGGTACAGCTGACGAAGTGGCTAAAGCTGTCGTCTTTCTCGCTTCTGATGATAGCAGTTATATAACTGGTATTGAACTTTTTGTTGACGGGGGTCTATCACAAATCTGACATTTATCTTATCTGATTTATAGTGCTAGCAAGTATTAAAATATTAAATTGTAATGAGATTCAATAAATAAATGAAAAATAAGAAGAAAAATTGTTTATTAAAAGAAATAAATTTCTGAATTGAAAAATAATCATGATTTTATTCACTATTGATAAATATCAGTCTGAATCAGTTGTATAATAAGACTGACGATTCAACAACTAACGACAACTGTAGACAGATTGAAAGATTCTTTTTCCTTCGCTGTTCCATACTGCCAACTAGAAACTCAAGGTAAATTGAAGATATATGGAATGTATTGTTAAGTATTTATTTTTTTTAATTTATTTTATATAACAATTATATGTAAGTCATGCTTTTCTTGAAAACAAAATCTGATCATTGTAAATATAAATAAAAAAATAAAAAAAACAAATGTATTACTTACAAAATTGTTTTTAAATAGTCAAATATGATCTACATAATAAATCTCGATTTATTTTAGAATATATATATTCAATGATGGCACCATTACCATTGAATACAGTCATTTCACTTCATGGATCATCTTCAATTTATCCTGTATATCGACGTCGTTTCTATGTTCTCTTTATTTTTTCTTTTCTCGCCTTTAATCAATGTCTTTTTTGGTTAACATTTTCTCCTATTTCTAAGAGTACTCAAATCTATTATCATATTGATGAGAGTACAGTCAATCTTCTTCTCAATTGGGGACCAATTATATTTATTCCTTGTTTACCATTAGCATATGTTTTATTAAATAAACAACATGGTCTTCGAAAAACTGTTTTATTACTTGCTATAACAGATTTTATTGCTATATCATTACGAATTATGCCAACAATTCTTATATCACCGTCCAATTCTTATTTTACTTCAATTTCTTTATTATTTATACATATTGGTCAAATTTTAAATGCTGCATGTGGTCCATTAGTCATGGCTCCAGTATCTCAACTCTCATGTTTATGGTTCGCACCTGATGAAAGAACACGTGCAACAACATTGGCGATAATGGCCTGTAGTCTTGGTTCAACTATTGGTTTTCTTATCACTCCATGGATAGTAACTAAATCTGAACATGTACCATATTTACTTCAACTTCATTTTATTCTTGCTTTTTGTGCACTGGTATTAACACTTATTTATTTTCCAGCACATCCTCCGCATGCTCCATCGGTTTCTGCTCAATCATTAATTGATATGTCGATGAATGAACAGAATGAGAATTCATTACGTAGTTATCTCAATGATATTTGGCGATGTTTTGATTCTCCATCATTTAAATTACTTTGTTCTGTTGGAGGAATTTCAGGTGGAGTATTTGCCGCATGGACTGGTCTCTTTTCTAATATATTAGCAGCTGAAAATTTCACTGAACAACAATCAGGTAAGATAAAATACAAATAGATCTATTAACGATTTTTTCTCTTTTTTTAGGTTGGTTTGGTTTTACTTGTTCGTTATCAACAATTATTGGTGGTTTGATTACAAGTACACTTGCTGATACACGTTATTTTCGTCGTTCATTTAAATCAATTATTCTTACAATGTTATGTGGTTGTTTTCTTGCTGTCTTATATTTTCAACTTTCCATTCATACGATATTTTTTGATGAACCAATCTTTAAACCAACTGTAACAAGTATTGCTCTTTCAGTTACATTTGCTGGTCTATTTCAAGGTTCAGCAATACCATTAGTATATGAATCTTTAGCTGAGATAATGTTTCCTAAACCAGAATCTTTGTCCGCATCGGTGCTTGTTCTATTGAATAATGTAACTGCATTGATAATTTTATTTATCCCTCCAAGTTTATACAAATTATTGAATTTTCTTGTTCTTTTTTCTATTGGTCTTTGTACTGTATTAATGATGTATGTAAATATTGATTATAAAAGAAGAAATATCGATGAACGAAAACAATAAAAAAAAAAATATAATTTTGTTGACAGTTAACATTTAATTTATGCATATATATTATACTCGAAAAATTATTTTTATTATTTCAGAAACGGAGAGAGACAGATGAAGATTGTGTTATTGATCGAATAGCCAATGATAATAAAAATGAGTTTGTATGTACAGTAACTGAACATCTTTAATCAATCAGTAAACAGATTATACTTATAAAATTAAATAGAATATAGATGGGTTTTATTTCCTAAGACGACGAAAAATAAATTTATTAGGAGAAAAAATATTTCATATAACGAATAGAAATTGATATCGATTTATTTTATAATCGTACTTGAATTCAAACTAAAGTCAATATGAAAAACATCTATGGGATAGTAAACAGTTGTATAATTTACGTTTGATTATTAATTGCATTCGTTTTCTTTTTTCACGATATGCAATCACGGTGACTGTAATTGCACTATATTTATATCAAACATATTGAAGATGATATTCACACTCTCAAGTATCTAAAGATTTTTTTTCTAAAGACAAAATAACATCAATAAAAGCTGGAGTAGAGATAATTTTATTTATGTACAAATATGGATTAATAAAATGAAGAAAAAGATTATTAGTTCTTGCAAGTGTTTGTATAAAGAGATAAGTCATTTGATACACTGTTTGTAACAATTACAGTAAGTTTTCCATTTTGACCCAAATAGCCTGATGCAATAGAGCTCGGTGTACTTCCAGTTGCGTATGGTATTGCAGTTTGAAAGCTTCCATCACCCCGCCCCAGCAATACACTAATACTACTATCGACTGAATTGACCACGCCCAAATCTAGTTTGTTGTCATTATTACAATCACCAGAAATAATCGCTATGGGCCATAAGCCCACTGAGTAGTTCATAGGAGCTCGAAATGTTGCATTCCCATATCCGAGAAGTATACTCACAGTGCTATCGTGTTCATTAGCTACTGCCAGATCTCGGTTGCCATCATTATTAAAATCATTAGATATAACTGAAATTGGCCAGTTACCGACTGTATAGTTCTTTGAAGTTTGAAATGCTCCTTTCCCATCACCGAATAATATCATAATGATGTTATCGTAAGGGCTTGTTACTACGATATCCAATTTGTTATCATTGTTGAAGTCACCAGCGGCTATCGAGGATGGCTTATGACCAGCTGCATAGAACGTTGAATTCTTGAAAATTCCATTCACATCGGCAAGAAACATGCTAATGGTCGTATCATCAGAATTAGCTACTACCAAGTCCGCTTTGCTATCGTTATTGAAATCAGCGGAAAGTAAAGCACCTGGACAACTACCAACTATGTAGTTTATTGGTGTTTGAAAAAACCCATTCCCAAGACTTATTAGTACACCAATAGTGTTATCGAAGGAGTTAGCAACTACCAAATCTAGTTTCTTATCATTATTGAAATCACCAGCTAAAACAGCGCGTGGATATACACCAACCATATAACTCATAGGACTTAGAAAATTTCCATCCCCACTCCCAAGTTGCACACTGACGGTATTGTCGGCATAATTAGTTACTGCGAAGTCGAGTTTTTTATCATTGTTGAAATCAGCGATGTGTACAGACCATGGTAAATGACCAACACTATATTGTTGTGGGTATTGAAATTGGCCATGTTTGAGACCAAATAATACAATAACATAATTGCTATCGTCACGGCCCACTACCAGATCTATATAACTATCATTATTCAGATCAGCTGATGTAATAGACATCGAAAAGAGACCAATTGTATAGCTTACAGGAGTTTCAAAGCTACCCATACCATTTCCAAACATAATACTAACGATGTCATTATTTTGGATGATGATTGCCAAATCTAATTTACCGTCCTTATTAAAATCGCCACATGTCATCGAAAACGGGGCACCATTGACTATATAGTTTATTGGAGCTTGAAAAGTCCCAGTCCCAGATCCAAATAACACACCAATACTGTTATCACCTCGGTTTGCGACGGCAAGATCCAGCTTACTATCATTATTAAAATCTCCGGATAAAATCGAAACTGGATAGTAACCGACCGTATAGTCTATTGAAGTTTGAAAAGTTCCATTAATATTAGCAAGTAGAATACTGATTGTATTATCATCGGAATTAGCTACGACTAGATCAAGTTTATTATCACTATTGAAATCTGCAGATAAAACAAATTGTGGACAGTTACCAGATTTATAGTTTATTGGTGCTTGAAAACTTTCATTCCCATTTCCATATATTACAAGAACGTTGTTGTTGACGGAGTCTGTCAAAACTAAATCTAGATTTGTATCATTATTGAAGTCACCAGTTATTGCCGACGACGGCCATTTATCAAGCGTATAATTTATTGAAGTCGGAAAAAGTCCATTGCCATCACCAAAAAATACGTAGATAATGCTATCAATATAATTGAATACTACAAGATCAAGGTTTTTATCATTGTTGAAATCCCCTGAAGTTACATAAGAGGGCATTCGACCAACTTTGTAAGTCCCAGGAGTTTGGAGAGTACCATCTTTGTTTCCCAGGAATAAACTGACAGTATTGTCAGCAGCGACGACTGCTACATCTAATTGACTTTCGTTTCTAAAATATCCAAATGTTGCAGAAATTGGTCTGTATCGAGTCTGATAGAAAGCTGATGCTTGAAAAGGATTGTCACATATCGGCGCTAGAAAAATAAAACATCGAAGCACTGTCTTAGGGAAAAAAATATCGAAAATTGTACCTGGTAGATTTGTATGTGGTCTTGTTGCCAATACAGATGCGATAATAATTCCTGCGATGATGAGAGTACACAAAATACTGATCGGAATATTATATCTCTTCTTATGATACCAATGACGCCTTATAAATATATGTATAGATAATTAGAAACGAAAAAAACAAGATAAAACTTACTTAATTTTTGGATAAATATATGCACCTAAGTAAATGTAGATATGTTATGAATTTAAAATAAATAATGGATATTTTTTGACATACCTGGAAATGGTGGTTCAAGTAATACTTTTTCAGGTCTAACTTGTTTCAAATGAATAATATAAAGATCAGGTGCTGGACTCAGTTGGGATTGAACAATCATATGAGTACCAGGTAGAAGAAGAACTTCATCTTCTGTACTAAAATGTGAATGATCACGTATTATTCGACCATTAATAGTTTCCACAGAGAATAACGTTCGATTACCACTATTTCCTAAATATAATTCGTTTTCCAGAACAGTCATTTCAGTAGTACATGACAAAAATGACCACCATGTCACTTGAGTACCAACGGGAAATTCTGCAGTTAAATTTCTAGTTACTCCTCGCCAAACAGTCATTGGTGGAACACATGGTAATTTAACGAGAGCAGTTAAGAATAGTTTGAGATACTTGAAATATGGTCGAAGAGCGTCACGATCATTATTTTTAAGAGCTCGATTGAGCATTGAATAGAGACTTCGATATGATACATTCCATTCGAATGTATACAAACGAATTGCTGCACTTTCATCAATTGTTAATCCATCAGATGGTTGTTCTGGTGTTTCATCAAGTACTAATTTAATATACAATGATAAATCATCAATAATATTTTCTAGTGGAGCACATGCTTTATAAAGTGGTAATAGAGGCTCTTCTGCATATTCTATAAGAGGATCAAGATTTGTTCCAAGATAGTTTATAAGATTCGATGTTATCGATTTTTTCCCCATCATATCATCTTCTACAAGTCGACGTTTTTTTATGATACTGCCATCCCGAATATCATCAGAATCTCTCATTGCTTTCACATCATTGATATGCGATCGATCACTATCGCCTTCGACTCTTTTGTTCTCGACATTTCGATGATCATTGAATCCTTCTTCAACCAACGCGATTGGTATCAGCTCGAATCGGTCATCGTTTCTCATCGTTTTTTTGTTCAGTAGACGACTTTCCATATCTAATTAATATCGATGCTACAAAAAAGAAACAATTAGAATTATAACCGAAAATAATAAACAGTGAGTCCAGTAGAAATTTATTCACTGTTTATAAGATAAATAAAATCTATATCTAACACACAATCTAATTAAAACGCAAATATAAGTAATAGAAGGATTGATTTGATTGTTATATAAATAAAAATATGTGATATGCCCTTTCGACTCTACGGCCTCTATTTTTTTTTCTTTCATCCTTCTATATATAATAAAAGACCATGTGTACATTTAAACATATACACCTAAAATTTGTTCATAAAGAATATCTTATAAATAGATAAAAATATTAAATATACATATACGTTGATTTTATTTATGATTTTTTTATATGATGAATCTTACTTGTAATATTCACCCTTGAATAATGATGTCCAAGAATGATTGAATTACGTATTTTTGAATGAAGATAAAAGGTAAAAGTTATAAATAATAATGTGAGAGGGGTATATTTTTATTTTTTTGCTTTATTTATTGTGATTGATAATGCGCAGATTTATTTTCTATCATATAAACGAAAAATCAATCGTACGATTAAATAGAAGATCCCGTGGGTGATACTTTTTTCTCTCGTTAGGTATGTATAAACGTGATGCATAATTTGCGTAGAATGAAAATAATAAAAAAACAAAATATATTCGTTGGCCTTCTTATCGAAATGAGATATATATAGGTAATTAAATACGAAAGCCTATAGTGAGTCAGTTACTATTCCTTTTTTTTATATTGTGTTTCACGAAAAGACAGTGAAGGATACATGTGCTAAGTCCCCAAGCGTAACGTATAAAAAAATACATTGTTATATAATTTAATTATTGATTTTATTATTATCTCATTTGAATAAACAATCTAATCTCAATTCTGTTCATCCTTTGATGAGATATGAAAGTGTGTCTTTTTAAGTTTTATTGAACAATATGTATCAAGTTCTTGTGATTTATTATATACGTGAATTTCTTATGATTAAATAGATGAAATAAAATATATCTCTCATAATAATATCGTCTTTTGCACCAAAAAAAGGGTGTGAGTGTGGATAGTCAGATTATTTGATATCTACACCGACACCCACACCTGCTATCTCTATAATTAACTCTTTCTTCACAGAAATCTTCTGATCGATTGTAACTATCATCATGGAATATAACTGAACAATGACGAGCAATACTTTTAGTCTTCTTTAACTATTCATCTTCGACTGACGTGTTGTCATCTACTTCATCGTCACTGTCACTAGAAGTTTCCCAATTATTTGCATTTATTTATCATTATGTTGAATGAAGAATTAATATTCCATCATTGAAAACGAGAAATAGAACGAAGAGACAAAAATAAAATTTTATTCATCGCAAATAAAGGTTGAAATTGTCACCAATTTAAACAATTTACCCTACTTTTGCCAACAATCAGTTCTCTTCGATAGAAATCCGCCGAATAGATTTATTAACAAAATTCCCTACAAACTGCATAAAATCGATCTTTTAAGTAACAATTATATTTTGAATAATTAGTCCATGATATCAAATAAACTGATCTCCAAGTCAGATGTAGAGTACTTAGAGACAATTTTAGATAATTTTTTTTTTATTGCTCTTAATTCACTTCTCGAGAAGATTTGTAAAATAATTTATTTATTTCATTTACATAAATATTACTAGAGAAATACACAAGCAAAGTAAGATATTGAAAATCAAAATTATCTAGATTCATTTGAATATAAATAGATTATGACTCTCGCTTAATATGACAGATAACAGCTTCTGTTAATTTTTTGACATATCCATAAATAGATTTCTTCAATTATAAATCAAAATTGTTCTATATTAAAGATGTCGCTGAGTGAAAATAATATATTTATTTACACATCCATGTGACACCTGAAAAAAAATATTCATTTTTACTAATTAATCTATTTATAAATTCAATAAATTCTGTGTTAATAATGTTCAATTAGATTGAGAAGAGAAAATCGAAAGATGTTAAATTATAAAAACATTACTTATATGATTTAATTTTACATATTATATATTTAATAATTCATAAGAATAATTCCGAGTACAATCTCAATGAAAAGAAAATTAATTTATATATATTGATAATTAAAAATTTATTTATTTTAATATAAGAAAAAGATGTTTACATAATTAAGATGAAATAAGGATTTATTGTTTATGTTTAGCAGTCTCGACAACATTCGAAACAAGCAATTTCTTCAAGTGCACAACAGAAACATAAACATGCCAAACTAAAATACAAAAACAAAAATTTTTTTTTTATTAATCAGCCTTGATGAAATTAAATTTTATAATTTACCAATCGAAACAAGCACCACCACCTCGTAAACCTTTTGGAAAATTGTCTCGTTGTTCAACAACTGGACTAACATTTTTTGTTGCGACTATAAATTGTTTTTTTTATAAATATAAATTGAAAAAAAAAAATCTAAACTTACTTAATTGATCTTGTTGTTCAACATCATTTAAATTTCTATAAAAAAATATTTTATTAAAAATTTAAATTAATTTCTAAACTTACGAAGATGATGGTTGTTTATTTATTGCATTACTCATAGTTGAATAAATTAGTTTCTTCTTCGTGTTTATGCTTCGTTGAAATATTATATAAAAAAAAGAAAGTATTCCTTTATATATATATAAAAAAAGTGCATTCATTACTCTCCGTCTTCATTAGCTTAGGCGAAGGCGTTCGTCGTTCTTTGCTGCTTATTCATTCCAAGGACAAAAATAAGAAAAAAAAAATAGTAAGGGCGGAAAAAAATCTTCTTATTAGTAATCGTGTTTCTTTCATTTGACTTAAGGTTGTGCATTAAATGATTCAGAGTTGTTTAGAGGACAAATGCATTAACACACCTTTCATTATTTAGCTGATATCATATGATTAATGAATCGAAATATTTATCAATCTTTAATTTTCTATTACAAACAAAATATTTGAAAAAAATTCAATAATATATCATTTTTATTCATACTTCAACTGATTCATTCAAAAATACATTTATTTTTTTTTTAATTATTTTTTTTTCTTCAAATACAACAGATAATTACTTCTATATGATGCACATCATGTGACACAGGAAAGAAAAAAAATTTATTTTATCAATTATTGAATTAAATGGCGTAGTGACATAGAGAGAATCAAGATTAACTCACATTCTTTTAGGTTGTAATGAATATTTTTTCACTATTAAATTTTAGAACATATAAATTTAGACACATTTATGTACATCACATTACATTTAGCATTCGGAAATTGAATAAAACTAAGAAAAATAATTACGCACGATATATTTATTTTCACCTGCTCTTGTTTTTAATATTTTTATAATTAAATACTGAAGAAACAACATTTATGATGGTGCACATAAACGAATTCTATCGAAATACATGTCTAAGAAATTAATTTAAAGAATGTTCGTCTTGTAAAGAAGGTCTTTGGCAACAAATCCATCCGTATCTTAATTTAAACGAATGATCAGTTTCAGCAAGTGTATAAACTAGTTTTTCAGCTGCCACTTTATTTTCCATCATTCGTTTAAATCCTTCTTGTACTCCATTCAATCCGCCAGGTATCTTCGTAACTCTATTTGGTTTCAATAGACCTTTTGGTAATAACATATCTGAAAGTAGTTTGTAGAATTTTTCAGCAAATTCCTTATCTTTTGGTGTTGCTGGATAAAATTGACCAAAGAGGATTCTTTCAAATCCAAAAATTGTATACATTAATACACGATGTTCTGTAATATGTGATGGTAATTCAGTTTTGATAAAAGGTAAAACCGTGACTAATTGTGAATTATTGGCAGTAAGTGCAGCACATACTTGTTTGGTTGAATCAATTTCTGAGACACAATCAAAAGCATATGCTAAATCATTTTGAGCTGCTTCTTTTATCAGTGATACAATATTAGGATCTTTATAATCAAAACAAATATCAGCATCGAGTCCTTTCAAATAATCATGACGAGCAGGTGATGCTGTAGTTATAACATAACAACCGATTGATTTAGCTAGTTGAATAGCACATTGTCCGACACTTGTGCTACCTGCCCATACAAGAAAATTAGCTTTAATTGTTGCTGGTGGTAGAGGTAGACCCATTTCATGAAATATACCAAGAGCTGCTGTTATAGATACAAGAGGAAGTGTTGAAACTGCTTCAGGAGATATTGTTGATGGATAACGAAAAACAAGTGATGCTTCTTGTACAACATATTCTGAAAAGGCACCACGAATACCCATTTGAGAATCGAGACCACCATGAACAAGACCCGCAACATGTTCACCTTTTTTATAATTACCTAAATATTAATTTTAATAAATTATTTGATATTTTAGTCGCACTGGAATTATGCTAACAACTTTCATGTTTATATTTACAGATTAATTAGGCTTAAATTTTTCTAATTCTCGTTAGTTTTATTTGACAAGGTTTTTTCTTCAGATTTTTTCTAAAAAATTATTATAGAAATTTTGCATTGTCATTCTTCGTACGAATTTCACCGCGTATCTTTTCAAAACATCATAAGACTTATCCATGTTTCAGTTATTTTAGTTCGTCTAGTAAAATATTAATTATGATGAAATGGGTATCGTCATTGATCTTCTATTTCTAAAAAAATGAGATGACTGAATAAGATCTTCTCATTAATTTGTATGAACTTTAAATATGTTTTCAAGATAAATTATTATGTAGAAAAAGACCAGAAATACTCAGATGACAAAAGTCAGATATAAGAAGATGTGGAACAGAAAATCATGTATTTTCAAAATTTTCTCAGAGATAACTATTAATCCGAAAGCGAAAGGATATTTATATTATACTTACCAACAGCTTCTTTGCCAACTTTAACGACTTCACCAGCGAAATCACATCCAACTATAGATCCTGGTTTAGCTAAACCGAAATGAACATGTTTCCAATCAGTTGGATTTTGTGCAACATGAGTAACTTTAATTAAAAGATCTTTGGGTCCATATTGAGGTAGCTAGAGAAATAAAAAGTAAGAAAATTATCGTTGATCAAATAGAAATTTTTTTTAATTACAGGAAGTTTTTCGAGAACAAGCTTTTTATTTTCGCGTACGACTAGTGCAATTGACATGATATGTCTTGATGAGAAGATTCATAAATAAAAATGAAGGAAAAGAAAAAAAGAATGGTCGACTTTCTTTTTTTCTCACGATCCTCGTTTTCTATTCTCTTCATATTAGTTCCATTGGATGGAATAGAGAAATACAAAAGAACGACAATGACTTTTCTTTCACTGAAGATTTCATTTAACCTCAAATGCTACTTATCTATTTCTGATTTCATAGTCATTATTATCAATATTAACAATGAAATCAGTTTCTATGTGAAATATATCAAATACTTATACCTTCAAGATCTATTATTGTCATGATTATTCGTATTTTCAATATACAGGGTTAGAAATAATATTATTCGAGGGCGGTAGTGCTATGATTTCAGATAGAGTAATTAAAGAATTTTATACCAAATGAAAGCTCGTCAATGTCAAACGTAAGGAATCTTCAGGAATTTTATATTTTTTTTGGCGTAGAAAATGAAAGGGCTGGTAATTCAAAAACGGAGTAAACATTTTTTTTTGAATATTCTTGCATGATTCGATAGAGTTCATTGAGCTCTACAAACCAGTATATATTAGAAAAATTTGAGGTGATTTTTCTGAGAGAAAAAATTCCAAAAACTACTTAGAAAACTCATTTATTTCAGATCGAAGAAAAACGTCCGATTTTTCAATAAAATTAGATTTTTTTTTCATTATTTTTACAAGTACAGACGCAGTTTTTCACGCTCCATCATGAGAGTATATTTGGAAGCGTCTGTACTTGTAGAAATAACAAAAAAAAAATCTAATTTCATTGAAAAATCGAATGTTTTTCTAAGATTTTTTAAGTAGTTTTTAGAAGTTTTTATTTCAGAAAAATGGCTTAACAACTTTTGATAACTCGTAATATTTAGTACCAATAAATTCTGTTTTTGGAAAGCTTTCATTTGGGATAAAATTCGTCAGTTACTTCACTGAAGATTTCTTTTATCGTACTTTTAGTTAGGAATTTTATCAAGGTGAAAGAAATGTCTTTTTTCAAGACAATAATTACATTTATTCGTCTGTTCTCTCTTTAAACAATAGAAGCACTCATGAAATGTCGCAGATGCTTCTTCTTCTAATAAAACGAGTTAATTAACTTGTCACTTTATTCATAATAAATATTTCTGTTTTCCTAAGCGGCTTGTCTACCTTATGACTTTTAATAATAATTCATTGAACATATTATTCATTTTTGAGAGTATTGATGTACCTGTAAGAGATTACATTCACACCTTTAAGATATTACCAGGAACATTTTTCTTTTTCAACTTCTCCCTATTATTCTGATAAATGACGTAGAACAAAACTATACATTATTATTATTCATTACTTAGTGAAATGAAAATGCGTCTTTTGATGAAACACGTTTCAAAAGTTGTATATGACAGAATTCGCAACCCATCCTCATCTTTTTTTTTCTGACAAAGTCTATGATTGTGTACACAAATTATCCTTCAAATTTAATCAGTTTCATTTTCTTTTACATTCTTGAAAAATAAAATTTCAGTATAAAACTTCTTACTCTAAATTTAACAGAATTTATATCATTTCAATCTTGTAAAGAACTATCTTTCATCGCTTGTCATAACTGAAACGATCATGATTTAGTTATTATATGGTGAAAAGATAATTCATTTATAGAAAATGTCAGTCTGTCGAAGATCTAATGCTCGCATCTTGATTTTGTTAAAACAAACTGGAAAACTTGGTAACTGTGACTTCTAACTCGAATAAGTTTTTCCATAGCTTGAGGAATAGTGCGGTATGGGTAAGGATGCGAATGATCTATGTATCTCTTACAGGAATGTACGAATAATCCCGCGCCCACATCCTCAAGAACTCCAATTGCAAGGAAACGACGATGCACCGTGATGATGTTGACTGGAACTGATCAAATAATGAAACGCAAAGAGTTGAAATAGTATTTCGAATTAGAATATGACGAAAATCAATATAAAACTATTCTTATACCCGCTTTCCTATTAAAAATCTCCATCTATATTCACAACGATGAGTATGAGAAAAATAAGTTCGTCTCAAAAAGAATCTATATATCCTATGCAGTCGTATGCATGCTAAGTAGTGATGAATCATATTTGTTTTTCATTTCTATTTTTTTATCTTAAGGTTGTCGGCTAAAGTAACATAAGTTGATAAAAAGCACATTTTTTTATTTCATAATCATTGTTTTAGTAGACATTTTACTTTTTTTATAACAAAACAAATCGACAGTAATAATAAAAAAATTATGGAGACTTGTGCTACTTGTAATAGCCGAGCAGGCAATCTGAAATGTCCAGGATGCCAAGGTATATTTTGCCGCGACCATATGAATTCACATCGAAATGAACTTACTCAACAAGTTGAAGAATTTGAAAGTGAATTAAAAAAATTTCAAAAAACATCGGGTGTAGCAAATGCTGATCTAAAATCTTCTTGGATATCTTATATTGATGTTTGGGAAACAAAATCGATTAAAAAGATACAAGAAACTGCTAAAGAAGCACGTCAACAATTGGAGACAATGATTGTGACGAACGAAGAAGAAAACATTGGAAATATTCATAAAATCGAGGAGCAAATACATCAAAATAAGCCAGATGATAATTTTGATGAACGAGATTTAGTGATATGGAAGGAAAAGTTAGACAAATTGAAAGAAATCGTTTCGAAACCAAATATCTCTGTCAAGGAGCAACAAATAGAGTCTTCTTTCATAAATGAAATTCGAGCCAATGAACGAGATGTATTTGATCAAACATGTGGAGATGTACATATTAAAGAAGAAAACCAACTCGCTTGCCATAATTTCAATCTATTCGGTAGTTATGGTGAAATTCGTGGAAAAAAAGAATATAGTAATGGCACCCATCGAATTCGGTTGAAAATCCAATATCTTGATATACATCCATGGTGGTTTTTTGGTATTATCTCCAAGTCAACACGTATGCAATCAAACTCTACTAAGTCATCTTCAGCATATGGTTGGGCAGGCAAAAATGAAACGTTTATGAACGGACAAATTTCACAGAATATGAATGGATATACAAGTGATTATTTAGAAGATGATATAATTGAATTAATTCTTGATTGCAATCATCGAATTATTCGTATGAATAATCTTCGTTCGACAAAGTCTTATGAATTGAACATCGATCTTACACATTGTCCCTTTCCTTGGATGATTCATTTGAATTTATTTCATATACAAACTCGTATACGAATAGATCCATAACTAATTACAATGGTGGACAAAAACATAAGAACAAGCATTTTATTTTCTAGTATTTTTTGTCTACTTGAAATCGTTTATGTGTCTATATGAGTGTATCCACGATGAGTTTCTTTAAAGTTGATGAAACTTTTACAGCCGATCGAGCTTTTTTCTGATTATTTTGGCATAAAAAACTTTGATTTTTGACTCTATCTTTCCTGCAAAATACTTTTCTTTATTTTTTGTCATTATTTCGATTAAAATATCTAGTTTTTTTTATGACTCAAGGAATTAAAAGGAAATTGAAGTGTTTATTTACTTTAAAAACATATGTGAATAACAAGCATGATTAGATAAATTAGTTATATATATATATATAATAAAAAATGGTCAATAGCAAAGTTAAGTTAGAACAAAACATTAAGATTTCTTTTTAAATTTTAATAATGAATTCTATATAAAGTTTAAATTAAATTTCTGTTTCATGTTAATTTGAATTTAGTTGATGGACAACCAAATTGTGTACCAAATATTGGGTCTAATTTATCAATTATATAACTAAGAACCGATGCTGGAATAGTAACAGTTGGATCTACTTCTGATGGTGTAACTGATAGAATGGCTTGATATATGAAACATGCAGTTCCATTAACTGTTTGATTATTAGTTGATAGTTGTTGAGGATTTGCTATGAATGTATTTGGTTGACCAGTATTACCTCCAAATAAAACTGGATATGGTAGATATAACTTTAATACCTGTCCGATAATATCAACTAATGAATATGGTGTTTCTCGTTTAACCCAATTATCTGGCATTCTTTCTGGAATTCCTATCCATTCTCCACAATCAGTTTTTTGTGCACCAAAAAATGGTGCA